GGAAATAATTTATATATTATGATAAGATCTCTTTAAATCACTCGAAAATTCATTTATAGCATGTTGCACTCTTTCAACAAATAAGCATGCATCCATTTTTGTATTAATGCATGTTTGCACATCACATACATTCTGACTACTTGCATACATAGCTATTGCGTGTATGCACGGAAATACATGCATGCTTGCATGCATATTCATAAATAAAATGTATAAATAAATGCATATGCGGTATGTTTTTATGCAATCATCATATCCATCCATTTAATACTAGTTACATTCTTTTAGCATACAAGGATCCATCCATACCTACTTGCATGCAAGTAAATGTATATAACATCCATTATTTGCTTGCATACCAGAGTGCTTTTGATCAAGTAGCATGCTTCATTGTTCTCAAGATAAAGATGAAACGTTTGAGCTGGGCCAATGATTTTCATTAAATGATATATGCATTTGCTCTCTACAAGGAATTTGATCTATAACAATCATTATGCCTGAATTCTTTCTAATTGGACTTCTCAACTACTTTAACCTATAAAATATTTGAGATATATTCTAGAGTTTACTATATATATATATATATATATATCGCGACATGGCGACTCGAGTAGCCCTCGATACCTTTACGCCGATAGAAAACGTATTATGTTCGTCGCTTCGTCGTGCACGAAAAAGGGTAGAGGTTCGCGTCAAAGCAGATTCGTTGCCTCTTACAGAAGACGGGAAGGGGCTGCGGTGTTGCATGTTCGTCGTCCTCCTACGAACGAACTTCAGTCGCGGCTTCTCCCTACAACAGAGGTTAGATTTGATTGCTTCGATTTTACATCCCGCACAACGTTTCTTCTTCGACACTCAGCTAGGACACAATCGAAGCTCCTCTTTTGCCTTCCTCCTCGACTCAGCTCGACAGTAGTGTGATCCTCTTCTCCCGAGTTCGGCTTCAGCTCCCCATTACTTTCTCTGTTTTTCGATTGTTTCTTCGATGGCCACTGTTCCTCTCTCAAATCAGTACCTAGGCAAAAAATCTTTTGTTGAGGTGCTTGGCAAGGGTCTAGACTCTGAGAAGGCTGTTGATCATGTGGTGTTTCCTCGGATCTATCATGATTCACTTGAAAGGAAAACCGATTGTCTGTTTCTTAAGAGGAATTGTAGGAAGGGTGGTAAGACTGCTCTTATCTTTTCAGTCCTCAAAGTCTCTACTCGGATTGAAAAATGCAAATTCATACTTATTGGGAAATTTCAGTTTGGGCATCCCAAAATGGAAGTTACTCACAAAGCTTAACTGGTAGGACAATGGAAGGTGGATCTCTTTGATGGGAGACATGTGATGATAGAATTGACTATGGACGAAGACTATGCTAGGATTTTCTCCAAGAAATACCTCACCATTGAAGAAAAAACTATGATGTTGCTCAAGTGGTCTCCTGAATTTAATCCAAACCAAAATACCACCTACAGTAACAATATGGTTTAAGTTACCTGGGCTTAAGTTGCAACTTTTCAATCATCGGGTTTTGTATTCCATTGGGGTCATGCTTGGGAGACCAATGAAATTAGACATACTTTTAAACTCACCAGGCCTTCTGTTGTTAAGAGTCTTGTGGAAAGAGATATCGCTTTACCAGACATTGTAAAAATTTGGCTTGGCACTGTACATAACGGGTACTGACAAAAAATTATCATTGAACAAATACCATATTATTGCACCCATTGTAAGATGTTTGGACACACACTTCAAAAATATTTCAGGCTCCACCCTAATTTAAAACCCCAACCTCAAGTGCCTCGCCAACTACTCAAGAAGCACATATTCCACCGATTGAAACGGCGAAAACTGCAACTAGAAAGGATATTGCTATTGATTTTTTTCCCCAGAGAAGTACTCTCACTACCTGCAACTAGAAAGGATATTGCTATTGATTTTTCCCCAGAGAAGCACTCTCACTACCTCAGCCCCTCATGTTGCCGAAAATGAGGATTCTTTTCGGTGTCAGATGATGCTCCAAATGCAATGGAAACAATTATTGCTGATGTACAGGGCCATCAAACCTTGGTAGAGTCCCAAATTTAAGATGTGCAATATATAGAAATAGCCCCCATTGATGATCAACTCAGTGATATGTTGGGACATCTCTTACAAGATGATTGGCGAGTTTACAAAACCATGAAGAAGAAAAAAGGACTAAATGAACTCAGGAATTTACAGGAGGATGCTTTGCTCATTTCGATTTCGGGTGGTCATCACAGTTTGGTGTTCATCTCCCTCGCTTGAACCAGGGAAAGATTCAGAAAGAGGAAAACCCACTCATCATGATTAAGCTCTATGGTGGACCATTTTTACCTTTTGGGGAAATTGTCCGGCCTTTTTTTGGGGTATAATTGTACTTTTTGGTTACCTTTTGAGTTTTGTATGCCTTGTGAGTGGGTCCAAGCACCCGTTGACTAAAATCTTTGTATCTTCTTCCCATCAAGTGCTCATAGTTTTTTGACCAACCACCACTCTACAAGATCTTTTGAGTTCCATCATAGACTAAAGATGGCAAGCAAGTGTAAGCTAAAAGAGATTATAATAAAACATTAAGAAAATGTCGATCAACCAATTTCTCAAACTAACTTGAAATGTCACATGTATAGTTAGATCATTTCTCACACTTTGAAGGATTGTTTCAGACCAATTGGTCTTGCTATATCACCATTCTCATGTTTTAAGCAGTTTGAAGGAAATTTTGGGTCAATTGTCAGTTTAACAAAACTCGTATATTAAGCCCTTATAGGGATCTTATGAAGGGAAATCTCTCTTATATGCTAATTTGGCATTAAAAAAAATATGATGCTTGATTTTGTGTGTTAATCATCAACATCCATCTCATATGGGATAATCTTTCTTCAGAGTGGTTTTACTAAAACATCCAAGAGAACAAAAGGAAAGGGGTAGAATTGGCAAACAATATAATAAAATAGTGATTTCCAACCTAGACCAGGCAACTTACCCACCTAACTAGTTTTGGTGCTAGTTCAAAAAAAATTAAAAAAAAAAGCTATTAAGTAAAAGGTTTGTTAAAGAATTTAGATATGCCAAACCTTAACATGCTAGACAACTTAACCAATTCAGCTTCAATTTAATTAAAACGTATGCTCGAGGCAAAATGTCGTGGTTAAGAATCTAAGGTACACGTGAACTTTGTAAAGTGAAAATGTGCAAAATTAGGACTATATATTTACAACACATGTTCAACAGAATGTCTCCCATCTTTATAGAAAAAGCATATGGCATGGGAAAACTACCTTAGCAAAGTCTATAGGTAATATGTTGAGAGTTATATTGAATGAAATTGCATCATTTGCAATTACATTGTTCTATCTAGATTTTTTTTTAAAGAGAGTGGCTGCTGCAAGAAGCTCCAACTTATGTAAGGTTTGGAAAGGGGTGTACATAACATTACTATTATATTTTCAAGAGGTTATTATATTAACCCTTCAAAAAAAAATCAAAACATAAATAAGAGGATTATATTAAGACGGAGGAAGCATCATCGTTATCACCAACAACACAAACTATAACACAAGCTTAAGTGGTTAGCCTTTGATGGATATATTCAAGCATTCAATACCTCTACTTTTCATGTGTGCATGGCTGCCCCCCCCCCCCCCCTCTATCTCGCTTTCTAAGTGATGAAAAAGAGAACCAAAATTTCATTTAAGTTCCAAGATTTGGCCTCTCCAAATCAAGGAAGAAGAATGATTGAACATTGCTCGCAAATTGGAATCACTCACCTTCTAAATAAGGTTTAATTAAATATTACATGTTTTGATTGACTTATTTGTTTATTTTCCCTCTTGTTTATTGCAATCACATTATTAATTTACAAATCAAGGAGAGTTTAGCGATTTTCTTGCTTGCTCTTTTGAAATAGCAAGACAATGTAACGTTAAAAGAACTCTTGATTATTGAAAAAAATTCATGTTCGATTCTGTCTAAATTGTGAGAGGATTAGATGTTGAATAATATTCATGTTTAATTCTGTAGAAATAGTGAAAATGGATTAGTGGTTGAATAAAACTCATGTTTAATTCTGTATGAATGGGGAGTAAGGCTTAGTGGTTGATCTTCAAAATTGGAAAAGACTTCATGGTCAATCCAACATTTGGACGTCAGGAGTCAATGTTTTTATCCCTTAACTGCCTCTTCTACTTTCCTTCTTTTCACCAAAGAGCTCTCAGTTTTTTATTTTTTTTATTTTTTCTCAATCCCTAGCCTCCAGCATACCCTGACACCTCCCCAAAACCATAAAGCATCCATAAAAACCCCGAAAGCTCTCCAAGCATCCAACACCCTCCCTACATACCAAACCCTTACCCTCTTTAACATAAACCCTGAAGGAATCTCAGGTTCCATCCATCCAAACCCTAAGCAACCCACATCCAAGCCCTCCAACACTCTCCCAAATTCCCTACAACTTTCCTGACACCATAACAGCCCACTCTCTTCTTGGCAAACCCATCAACTTCAGGCTGACCCTAAACTCCTCTACAACTTTTCTATGAAACCAATTTTCTATCTCCATCAGTTTCAAGATGCCTTCAGCCTTCAAGGTGCTTCAAGGTTGCCTACATCTTCAAGATCCATTCTCCATCAGTTACTCTAGCCTCTCTACTTCTAATCTTGATCTTCAAGCTTAAAGAAACAATAAAGTAAAAAAGAAGAACACAAAGTAAGAAGTCTGTTGAAAACCTGGACTATGAGGTAGGAAAATCAAACAGTAGTAATGAGTATTCCTTATAACGTTGTCAACCATGAGTAACTGAGAAAGACAACGAGAGCGATAATTCAATATGGAGTTAAGTGATAACAGAATATAAAAAAAACTTCTTTAAGAAATAACTTAAATTATCAAGCATAAAGGGTGAATTAACATTGATAAAGTTAAATTAATAATCAAGGTAAGGGTATTAAAGTCATCAGACGAAGAAACAGATGCCACTAAGCCATAAGTTACCAGTATTCAAGGCTAGGCACAGATGATTTATCTTCTTCAGCAAGGATAAAATAAACAAAGTCTTCATATCCCATTTTTCCTTCTACCTTGCTTGTGAACTTCCTAGGAACCTGGATATTCATTTCACTTGAAATTTCAAACAAAGAATACAACAAACAACAAAAAACAATAACCAGGATAACAGAATCATCTGAAATCCAGCTGGAAGGTATTTTGTTTCTGCTGAAATTAAGCCAAATAAACATATGGATAACCTGCGAGAAGATTCGTTCGACAATCCTATATGTAAGTGCATGATTTCCATATCTAATAAGGTTTTCCTTATCGATCAGAAAATCATGATCCGTGTCCAGCTCCCAGAATTTGCAGTATATCACATAGAAGTGTTCATAGGAAAAGTATCTGGGAAAAAAAATCAAAAATAAACTTTCAGTTTTAACACGCTAGATTTTCAATATAATAATCACAAGAAAGTAATGCTTTGCATTAGACTTCATGACAATAGTTTTATTAACAAAAGGATTGTGATTTTCTCAGCTTCGGGTTTTCAAAATCAAGTGGGATTTGATAGACTGGGACTTAAAAAATGCAAAAATCTAACCATTTAGAGTCGTAAAATACTTGAGTAAATTAAAGTTTTTAAAAAAGTCTCTGAAAAGCCATGTGACATTCTTTCAATGCATATTTAATTAACGTTTCAAGCCACTAGGCAATAAAATGAAAACCGCCTCTATATAGTTTTTGTCCCATGAAGAGCGAACAATGTTATCTTGCAACTAATGGCAATAGAAGTTGGCAGACTCAAGTTGAGCTCATAAATGCTAACTATATTGTATTGAAGTTTGTTTTCTACTAATATTGCCCACAAAGTATCATAACAGAGTCATCTATCAACCACATTCAGTTCGAGCTTGTCCGATGTTCACTACTAGCTCATGAGAGGCAATATATAGTTTACATAAAAACTTCAATCTTCATCAGCATCAAAATTACTAAAAATTTATTTAGCTAATACAATCAAAAGCTCACGATATTCACACTTATATCTACAACTACTATGGACCATACCTTTGAGAAACACAAAAAAAAGGAGAAAAAGAAAGACGTCTCCGCATGCACATAAAAGGCATTTTAATGAAAAGAGTATGCTGATACCTAAGCTTGATTGCTAAAGGGATGCTCACCATCTTCAAGAGCCTCATCTAGAAAGGCACCATGTAGTCACCTAGTCGCCCATGTTCAATGCCTAGAGTTGTTATTATAACAATTTAAAAAAATCACACTTAAAAGTAAAAGTGAATATTTGTTTTTTAAAGGAATGACCAAAAGCTATTATACGAGTCTCCAGTCACCCCTAACATGTCAAACAATTTGAGTACCACCTCCTTCCTTAAGGCCAACTGTGTCAGAGGGAATTTGAACCCCCGACTTGAGGGGTCTTATAACGTGGATGCCAACCAACAGGTCGGGGTACGTGGCAGAACTAAAAGTGAATATATATGTATGTGTATGTAAGTGTGTGTGTGTGTGTGTGTGTGTGTGTGTGTGTGTGTGTGAACCAAATAGTTCGCCCAATCTAATTAGGAAACCTAACCCTGCCTTTGCTCGAACCATCTTCCCTCAAACATTGCAAATCTTTCAATGCCTCATGATGTGATTTAAAGGAACAAGGACAGGATTTATCGCAAATCTCCCCCTTTCCCTCGACCCATAGAAGTATTCTAAAATAGGATTATCAAGGCCTTGGATCTCAGTAACTCCAAAGAAAATTCATTGCTTGATTCATAACTCTATTCCCTGAATATAAGACTTGATTCCGTGTTATACACCCAAAATGAAATCCATAAATTGTCTTACTATCTCGATTTCTTCCTTAACTAGGTATGTGCATAAAATGTCTGTAGGTGTAGGTTACTAATTCATTAGCCTTGAGACCTGATTAGGTCTTGAATAGGATGTGATGTGTTTCACCTCTGCAGGCTAAAGTCCTGGAAAAGATTACCCGTATTCGACTCAACTAGCTTAAACAGAATAATTGGCAAGGAATTCTTGCTTGGAAGTGGCTGGAATTCCCATCAGCAACCAACTTTCAACAAAATCCAGTTAAACAGCAGTAAAATGTTTATATGAAAATCCAATTGTTGAGATTAACAAGTTTAGAAAATAGAGAACATGATGTAAGAACTTCTTGATTCAAGAAGCATTTAATTGTCCCATGCTAGAGGAATTTTATTTACACCCATACCCAGCTCCTAATTGTTGATTATTGATCCTGCCTTGACTCGATTCTACAAAAAAGAAGCAAGGAAGATGGCTAAAAATATATTTTTGTGAATAAGATTGATTGTTGGCAATCTTAGAAGACTGCCTCGGAGCTTTTTCCAACCAAAAAAAGTATCAAGGAAGATCTAGGGGAGATCTAGGCAATCAACCTTAGTGAAATCTTTGACTCTAATATGGCTCCTTCTTACCTCTCCTAGACCAGGAGATCCTCCAAAAAACTCTCTCAGGATAAATTCAAATCAAAACTCTTTAAAAATAACCTACCACTCCAACATGACTATTTATTTATAAGCAACCACCATATACACCATATAGTCTTAGGTCCTTGATAACTAAACTGCCCCCGATAAGTGATAGGATTAAAAAAGAATCATGATAAAAAAACAAATAAAAAAAAAATACCCTCACCAAACCATGTCAAGTTCGCCGAGTAGGAGAAGACTCTCCTTGATGTTTAGTTTCCCTTCACATTCATAATAGGGTAAAAAGCGAACCATACTAAAGTTGTCCAAAATAATCAGATGCTCTAGCAAATCCATTTTATAAGTCTTTTTTTCCCCCATATGCTTAATGACTCTAAATAATCAATTTTTGGCTTAAGTTTAGAAAAAAAAATAAGAAAACAAATGTGTCTTTTATAAATGACTCATTAAGTGGTTGCCTTCCTTGAAGGAAACTAAGGTGCAAGCTTTATTAGCTTGTTTTTGATAATGTATATTTTTCATCACATTTATTTCACAAACCTGATACATTTTTCTTTTACTTCATCAATTTGTTTATCTGCATCAATATTATATTCAGAAGTAACAGCTATGAAAGTCTAATTAAACTAAACGATGAGACTCTAGCCCTACACAATCTGAAAAGGACATCTACGAATATTTTGGTTATAGATTCATTATAAGCAAACTTAACTTGAGATAAAGCGAGAACTCATTGTTTTATATTCTTTTCTACCAAACATTATATTTTCCTAGACAATGATTGACGACTTCTATTCAAATGTCAGTCTGAGGGGGAGCAATGGAGCTAAAACAAGTTTACTACCAACTTTACATGTAAAATTTTCCATGCACACATCACAATCACACATAGTAGTTTTTAAGATCTCATATAGGTCAACAATATATGAAGCATTAATGGTTTTAAGATAATAAATAGAATGAGCCATTTTTATAGAATCGATCCAGCAAATCCATAATAGAATCCTTATAGAGGTTGTGGGCCCTTCATTCTCTCATTAGTGTAAGTTGATTCACAGTGATTCTCATTTGCACACTTTCACATCCACTAATAATCTTTTTCACTTCCCGTTGGGCTCCAGTTGCAGCTGCTAGAGGCTCCCTGATCATGCTTCTTCTAAAAAATGAACCTTGATGTATCCTCCACACACTTCTTGGTGACGCCACATCTTCATTCTCTCACTTAACAATGCATCTATCTCTCAAACGCTTATGGGACTCAATTTCACAAATATTCTTGATTATTAAATATCATTTCATCACGTCATTCTTTAAATTTTCTAATTGATGAATATTATTATTATTGAATATATCATTTTATGTTTTAAAAGTATTACAATCATTTAAACTTCGTTAAATAAAATGGTTATTATATGTATATTTGTATATATGATGTATAAGTTATTTGCGCTCTAATTAGTAAAAATAACACTAGGTTCTACAATTTAAGAAATTAAAATAAAAAAGTCCATTTGCATTGCAATGTACTTTGCACTTTAAAAATACTGATTTAAATGCCCATCATATCCAACATTTCCTTTGTTATTCCTTATGATCACTTAAAAATTATATAATATATGCTTAATGAATGTTATTATCTATAGTAGCCTTATATTGATATTAAAGGCTATACCGGCTAAGAGGCTTGCATATCTGCAACTTTATGAAGATTGAAGCAGTTTCCACTACTTTGTTGAAAAATCATATCTTATTAAGGGCACTATAAGGTGTCCGCTACAATAATATAAATTTATGTAATAAAATAATTCATCACTGATAAATAAATAAATATGATGGGATGCTCATACATGAGTTAGCTATAAGATTATTTAATAACTTGATTACATAATAATTATTACTAAGTAGTTGACATTTTTTATAGTTCTTGCCATAAGGGATGCAGTGCTATATTTATTATGGTAATATATATTGTTACTAGTACCACTTACTAATTTTAATGGATGTCCTATACCTTGCATTTATATCTCAATCTTAATTAATAGAAGATGCCCAATGAGATTTCCTCGCATGTTCGTTTGTTGTTATCATACCCTCACAAAATCTAACTAAGTTGATTGGTGAACATCACCAGTGGTATTCTTTGGGCTTGAAAATTAGTTATTTAAGTTGTAGTTCTTTCCTTTCTTTTCATGAGTCAAATGCTCAATTCCATTGAATAGACTGCTAGTATTTCCATTGCTTTAATAAAATTTAAAATATCACATAACAATAGATCTGCAATACAAAATATCCAAACTTGACCCTTAATTCCTAAGGTTTGCTTAGCAAGTTAAGTTTATCATATCTCATATTTCCAAGGTATAACATCCTCCAGACCTATAGGGTGCCTAGGGCTGTAATTGAACCGAATATGCCTTGTATTAGAGTTGGCTTGGTCATATTATAAGCTATTTATGTTTGAATTGAGCTTGAGCCGAGCTTTCACAGGTATGTTAATACTTGGCTTCATTAAAGTTTTCAAGCTTGTTTATTTTAATTAGACAAGTTATTCAACAAGTTAATAAATAAACTAAAATTTGAATGAGTGCTTAACTTTTTATATCAAGTTATTAAAAAATATTTGTATAAATCTAAACAAATGGAAATCAAATAAATTCTGAAATAGAATTCAAGTGTTTCACACCAATTAAATAAGATAATAATATAAGTTCCAAATAAATTTTCTTGTAATTAATTAATATAATAAGCATTCACAAACTAATTCATTGAAATAAAGAAACATGTATTTGCATTAAATTAATATCTATATTGATATTAAATTATAATATGTTTCTATTAAAAATACAAGTAAATAAATTTTAGTTAATCAAATTTTATTTAAAAAATATATCATATAACTTTAGAATATTTTAAAAG